TTCCTCACACTTTAAGATTATCGTGGTATATTGGTCTCTGTATTACACTTCTGCGAGCTACCTTCCCCTTTTCCTCTCCTCCAGGCGCAACATTATGAGTGAATTATGTCTATCTGTAAATATATGGGTTTTTCTTCATATATACAAGCCTCTTCCTGCCATGGAAAGAGGGTGGCAGGACAGGTGTTAATCTCCTGGTTCTTCTTAACATTCAGCAGTGAGTGAGTTACTCCGCTATCTTGCCAGGGTGATCGTCTACTAATGAGGTGCTTTAACTAGCGGTGAAGCTGATAGTGTACTCCGTTCTTCCTGAGTGTCTGAGTGTTATTGTACTTTAAGATAACCATCTTTTCCACTCCGATTGAGAAACAAACCTGTGACATACTGACTGAGCTATAGAGTATTCATGTATATGGGCAACACATCCCTAGAAGAAAACAAATCTATCGCAATTCGTCTTCCTCGGTTCAGTAGTGGACTGAGGGAGGCATACGCTGGTGAACACTGGGCCCGTAGACCGTCCATACTGAGAAGCCATATAGTATTTTCTCTCCTCCAATGACAACACGACCGTAAGTAGGAGAGGGAGGGAGCTAGAGAGAGTAAAAAGATCGGCAATTCATTTTGGACGATATCATGATCCCCATCACTGCTACACCGCCCTGAGAGTGAGATAGAGAGAGAGGAAGGAAAAATTCACCGTAGGGCAATGATGACGACAATGGCGTTCCCAAATAACCTATATTACGGCAGCAGGTCACCTTCCTTGTGGAGATGTACAGGGAGGGAGGGACAGACGGAGAGAGGAAGGGAGGGACGGAGGGAGAGAGGGTAGAAGGAAGGAAGGGAGGGAGGGACCTTGGCGACGATACAACATAAATTTAGACAAATATGCACTTATATATACTGTATACACACATGAGCCACGTTAAAACAAAGGGAGGTTACTGATGCACTTCAAGTCGACGTGATCACCTGAGAGCAAGAAATCAGGAGAGAATCTCACCAAACCTTAATTCCCCGGAAAGTGTACACCCCATAAATCCGTCCTCTTGGCTAACACCCCCAGAGGTACACACTCACCCCTCCCTCACTCACAACCCCCCCTCCTCTCACTCACTCCCTAGTCCCCACTCCCTCTAGACCTGCCCACACAACCAATGAAAAACCATAGGCTTGAAAATAGCAGAGGGGAAGGTGTATATGTGACGGTGGTGGTGGTGGTGATGGTGATGATTCTATTAATGGTTATTGTGGGGGTGGAGATAGTGGTTATGGTGAAGATGGGCGTAGAACTGACGATAGTGGTAGAGACTTAGTAGAGGTGATATAATGATTGTTGGTTGGAGATGGTGATGGTGGTGACTGTGTGAGAGTTGATGATGGTGTTAGACGTTAATGATCGTTGAGGTGATTATGGTGGTGGTAATGTTGATGATAATGATGGTGATGATTGTTAGTAATGGTGGCTGGTGTTGGTAATTTGTGGTGATGCTAGTGTTCGTAACAATGATGGTGGTGATAGTGATGATGTTAGTAATGATGGTGTGAATAATATAATAATGATGGTGGTTATGATATGGATAATGATGTAAATAATAGTGATTGTCATGATGATAGTGATAGTATTGACAATGGTGATAGTGACGATGGTGGAATAGGAAGTAGTGTCTCTGGATTGTCATTCTCCTCTTCTTTCATAATATTTCACAACTTACAGATGAACGAACGACTCTCTCTCTCTCTCTCTCTCTCTCTCTCTCTCTCTCTCTCTTTGTCACTCCTTCTTATACATTTAATCAATATCTTCCATTAGATCTTTCCTCTGGCTTTAAGTCTCTCTCATTCTCTACTCTTTATATATGTCTTATATTTCCTTTACATTTGACGAGTAATAGAAATCACCCACTACAGTGCACTCTTACTTCCCAAAACTACAAAACTACGAAACTCAAAAATCTAAATTATCAGTTATCCCAAAATTTATATACATATACAAAATTCACTTATTAGACGACAACACCTTTACTCCAATTACCTGAGTTAATAATACACATATTTTTTTTTACTATTTTTTACAGCTGATTTTTCATGTATTTGTTGATAAAAAAGACGAGGATTTTACTATGGGTGTAATACTGTCTGGTTAGGTTAGGTTAGGTTAAGTTAGGTTAGCGAGAGGAGAATAATCTATATCCCTACCAGACTGTTATTCAGGTCAAGTAACTTTGTTTAACTGATGTAGGATTTATACCTCTTACCAAAGACACACACACACACACACACACACACACACACACACACACACACGCACACACACACACACACACACACACATACTCACACACACACCTCCTCGTATCAATCGTCCACTGATGATTATCAAATTGGTCACGTGGCTCTTTTATCCAGGTGTGACGAACGGCCGAATCCATGACACCCTCAGCCAAGGTGCTATTAATAAGTGCTGTTATTATTAAGAGTCGACTGATATATGGCCGTCCTTGTGGCATTCACTACTTCCTCCTCCAGGTTATTTATCGGCTGCAGGAGGACTGATACACCTGAAGGAGGACATTGGGGCTCTCATACAATACTATTCAAGTCTTAAGAATTTTTGTCCACTCGAGAATATCATCGTCGTTCGGTCGTCACTTTTAACGGGGGTTCAGCAGCCATGGGTGAATAATAGAGAAGAAACTGTAAATTATCTACGTTTTTTTTTCCATTTTGTCAGTTATGATGGATTGTAGGGAATCGTTGACACTGAAGCATAATTATTTAAGTATTATAGATTTGTAATTTTTCATAGAGGGAGAGAGGGAGAGTAAGATAGGGAGAGAAACGGAGAGGGAGAGATACAGCGCCGAGATCATTGTTGTTGTTCTTATCATCGCCGCTACACAACACATAACATCCCACAACCAACATAATCTTACAAACATCTCATTAAACACAGCCTATATTATTCTTAAACGCATCACAAACACATTTTCTAACAATTCACAATTTCACTAAAGACACAAAAAATAATAAACTACATACAAGAAATATATCCGTAAAAAAACTTGCACAATAAGGAGACAGACAAACATACAAGGTCTCACAAGGGGTAAAAATTTCCCAATGTTGTAGCCACCCGGATGAGGAAAAAGACTTAAGATTCACAATTGGCATTAAAGAAGGTGATAGTTCTGCCATAAATTTCTCTCGGGGGTCCCAGATTGTCCGTCCTCTCTTGGCAGCCTCGACCCGTTGAGAAAATTTCATATCAAATGACATTGTTTAGTGGAGTTTTTTGGGACATTGGGAGTGGACATTCACGTATACATGTTCCTATAATATATACATAATTATATCAATGTGTGGAAATTGATAAACGTCAAAATATGAAGAATATAAGAGCGGTGTGTGTGTGTGTTTGATCAGTGGTGTTGTACGTACACATAGGTGTAAAACTTGTATGTAAACGGTCGTTAAATTCATGTAAAAATCGTGACTTGTTGTCTACATAAGGTTCATTAACGCGGCAGCAAGATGGTTTATGGGCCTGTTGCTGGCATAATAAGACAGTAGGCGCTCAGACGTTAGTAATTACAGATAATCAATAGAGATTTCTGAATATCAGAGTCAGGTCAACAACGGGAAAAAAAACAATTTTGTTGGTAAAAGTGATGACACAAGCAAGAGGAATTTTTGGCCAACGCTGTCCAATAAATTATTTCATTCACAGTAACTTTTAAGCGACACTGCAAACTTTTCTTTAGAATTTTTTGAAGTTCTGGGAAATATTACACTTTATATATGTATATATATATATATATATATATATATATATATATATATATATATATATATATATATATATATATATATATATATATATATATATATATATATATATATATATATATATATATATATATATATATATATATATATATATATATATATATATATATATATATTTATCGTTTGGACATCATGATCAAAGTAATAAGAGTTTGGTATTTGACCAATAGACCACACACGAGGATATATTATGCGAGAGAAACTTTACAATAAATATTTTTGGCCGTGTGAACAAGTAGTGTGGGACGGTGTAATCAGACTCCCTCGTGCCGGACGATATCTTGCACCGCCGAACATTAATCATACAACATAAAACCTGACAATTCCCGGACTCTATTATCTATTAAGATTTTACCCCTCAGGATTTACCCCAGAGAGAGTGTCGTCACTCCTCACACTTTTTTTTCCTTTTCTGAGAGAAGTCTTGCCGCTCCATCTAGTCATAAATTCCCGCTAAATCTATTTGTTGTCAATTTGTCAGAAGGGCACCGCAGTTGACTCATTAAGACCGGGTTACTGCGGAGACAACACCCGACAAGCCTCAAACCCTTCCGCGCTGGGTCACCCTCCTCCCGGGACACAATTTATGACTCCCCGCCTTGCCCACCATGCTCGTTCTTGTGGTTACGGCTCTTGAAAGAGTGGGTTAGGTCTGTTAGGAGCATCTTTATGACTTTATGGACTGTTTAGTGGCGGCGAAAGGATTGTTAAAGAAGGTGATGAGTTGGTGGGGCAGTGTGGTGAAGCTACCAATCGGGTGTCGCGGCCACCACCACCATCAGTGACGGGACTGAGCGACCGGCCGCGCCAGGGATATTTACGACGAGGGATCCAGGCCGCCGCTCATGTGTGTATGTGTGTGGCTCTGGGCCTGGCCCCCGCCTGACCTGCTGCGGGAGAAATGCCCTCTGGTACAGAGGCTGTCATGCAATTTAATAAGGTATTAGTAGAGCTACTGAGAGACTGGAGGGCAGTAAAGCAATTATTACAAGAGTAAAAACAGTGGGGCGCCACGTTCCCGAAGGAGAGTAGGCAAGACCTGTGAATGGAGGGGTGGCTAATGTGTCACGGGTGAGTAAGAGAACATTAAAACTCGCACACGGCGGGTTTTGAAACAACCTGTTCGACAGATTTATGTGGTTACTTACTCTGGCCGAGATGTACTCTCTTCATCCAGGGGTAGATATGTGGCTGGCTCTTGGTCGAGGACGAGCCCCCCGAGCTTCCAGAGGCGCCCTCCAGACTCTCTCCACCTTCTGCACCTTCTCCACCTCCGGCGGAGGTGCTGGTGCCGCCCCCACCGCCCTGACTAGAGCTGTTCTGCTCGGAGCCACTTCCGGAGCTACTCGAGCCGGGCCCGCTGCCGCCAGCTGATACGGACAGGTCCTGCGGGGAGCCTACTGGGTTGGCCGAGGACTCGGGCGTGGAGGCGAATTTGCAGGAGGCGGAGGAGGTGGATGCCTGTGGTGTGGAGGCAGGTGAGGAGGATGTTTGGTGGAGGCGACCCTGCACGGAGGGCCCCGGGGTGGTGTTGCCCCCAGAGCCACTCGGGGTGCCCACTGACGATCCTGACGCTGCAGAGGCTGAAGTCCCCGAGGCACCGCTACTGCCGCCGCCGGAAAATTCGCTTCCATTTGGGACAACTGAGATTCCCGAAGGTGTGTAGCCTCCATACTGTAGTGGAGGCGAATAGCAGTTGTTGTAACTGTTGAGAGAAGTACCGTAGTAGTCTGTGTTCACGACACTGGCGTCCTGTCCGCGCTGCCCGTAGCAGGCGGACATAGAGTTCACGAACTGATAGGAGCTCATCGCGGAAGTCCGCAGGTGATTTGCTCCTCGAGTGCCCTTCTGTCCACTGTTCCACCCAATGTTGATGAATTATGGCGACACTACTCGAAGGAAAACCTCTCTAGCACTTGCACATTACTCCATTTATGGGCTGGGAATACTAGCACGTGACCGACAGCAACCAATAGGAATGGCCGCATGAGTGGAGGTTAACAAGATAATGAGAGTGGTAGCGGGCGCAACGAGGTGGCCCGACCCGCGGACCCTGCGCGAGCCTTGCACCCCACTCCGAACCTCCGACCACCGTCTCCGTCCGGATAAATTACGAGCAGTCGGAGCGCGCCTGGCCCCACCGAGCGCCCATGTGACGATGCACGACTATAAACAAACCGTAAATAAGAGCATGAGGGCCGGGGATGCGCAGCAGCGAGCCGGGTCGCGCCGCCCGCGACATCTGTGAGCAGCGCGGGGAGTTAGCGGCGTGTGGCGGCCACCAGACGACGTGCAGGCGGGACGCTGGCAGGAGGGGACGCCGCCTTGGCAAAAGTGGGGCCGCATCGCCTCCACCAGCGCTCAGTGAGGCGGGGGACGTCGGCCGGGGAGGGCCGCACTCACCCCGCCCCGCGCCCGGCACTGGCACCGCCCACCCGCACCTCCCCCGGGGCCCCGCCACCCGCCATCACCACCTCCCCTTTGGCAACTCTCCTCCACTCACCCCATGCATTCTATCCTCACTCTTATCGCGGGTGACACGCCTCTCGCCGCCAACGTTATTGCAACTTAGCGGGTACTACAGTCCCCTAGCAGCTCTCCCACACATGTACACCTGTCCACCACTCGCACACCTGCCTACTACTGCTGCTGTCGTCACGCCAACACCACATGTATGACACACCTCACCTTCACACCTGAGTTTTGTTGCCGCCGACTCCTCCACAGGTACCGGCTGAGGGAGATATCATTCGGGATTTTGCTAAGATCGCTAAGAGACCGCCGCCACGCAGGTGCAAAGCGACACAATCTGATACCGGCAGTCTATCAGTCATGAGCGACATCACCAACTGTCCCACCCGACTAGACGACATCACATGCGATGATGAATGGACTTGGTGAAGGTGGCCAGGTGTTGGCCGCCAATTAACGCATAACTAGGGCTTATTTCAGACTTTGTGGGATTAAACTGGTCCGTCTAGTTGGGGGATATTTATAGCTTTTCTTCCCCCCCCTAACACCACCTTCCACCTCTCGCCATTTCCCACCCCCGGATGTAGAGGGTGATTAGGCAGCAACGGTATGGGTGACTGTGAACACATAGAGTATCAGGACGGAACGATTGTTGACGAGACAGACCTAGCAGGGGTATGAGATGATTGACAGTACATAGATAAGAGACCATGGCGAGACTTGGCATAAGAGTAAGCCGATCTGCAGGACACTATAGGCAGCTCCGTCAAACTATTGAGAACAAGGACAAACAGACAGACGAGGATAACAACGGGAAACACAACAGTTACGGGTTGATGAGAAAACGGTACGAGGCCATAGTGATAGATTCTAATCGACGTCCGCCATGACTTGCGACTCATTTGAATCATAAACTACCTCATTGTCATCCATATTTACAGCACTCTTGATGAAAGGACCAGACGAGACACATACAGCTTAGCCTCACTATGCGGATATAACACATACTAATCTAAATATTATGATTCATTTATACATTAACGCTCGATTGATATATTACAGACATACGACCATAAGGAAATAAGTTGGTAATAATGATAATGATAATCGTCTGTCATTTTCACGTAACATTACATCATAGGAAGCGTGTCTCGGTGTATAATGATATGATCTCTGAAATGTTCTCATCAACAAAATCATTTATATCACGGCTTAGTATGGCAAGGAGTCTACTGTTTCCCGACTGATATTTACTGTAAACAAGAAGAAACATTTATTCGGTGTTATGTTACGTAACTGAATGTTTGAATGCGTCTTCATCGTCAACTAAGGCTATATCGCCTGTTAGTTTTTGTTTTCTTTTGTTTTGGTCAGTATACGAGTTGGAGTGAAATGTTCTTGTTGGCCAAACAAGTATAAGTGACCGTGGAACACTGCGATTAATGTCCGTCTATGTGTGGGTCTCTAAAGTTCCCCTTAAGCCGATGGAAACACCGTGGCTGATGAGTGTTCATATACGTCACATATATTGATGAACAGTGCACATAAAAGAGAACTTCTGAGCACTGTGTAATATTGATGCTATGAACATTACACTTTACTTATTTTGCTAATTCTGAACATTACAGATCAGGTGAGTGATACTAGGTATAATACACATGACAGACTACAGTACATGAGCAGTTCACCTTAATTAAAGATGCAATGAGTATACTGTACATAATAGATCTGATTAACTCAACGCCTTACTGTAACAGCTTTATCAAGGCTTCTGACTACAGAATACTGTACTTGGGAGAAACTTTGTGAATAATACACTTAAATGTTCTACGAAAATATACATTAAAAAATAAATAAACATTATACAGTAAAGAACTTATGAGCAGCACACAGAACTGAGACCAAGTGAACATTTATGCCTGAAAGATCTCTTATCGACAATATAAATATAGATGTATGGAAGGTGCTCATTGTAACAGTTATAGGCACCGAACATCAACCATCGAGCCCCTACCTGGCATACGGATCACCTGGCGATGATGGTGCATTTATTCTCTTGCTTATAGGGTTCCCGGTAAAGTCCTCTGAACACACAATGCAACATGTCAATTGTTTTTATTGAATTGAAGTGTTTTTTTAAGCAGTTGAATATTCCGGAAATATCTTGTATTAGATCGTATTGATTAGCTTTTAGGATTTTTAATTTAGTTGTGTTAAAAAAATTGCTTTTTTTACCCGTTGATTCTAAAAGTTCCCGAATGACTCCGTAATGTATATTGTTATAAATCTACAGTAATGTTTTAACAAGATTTTAAAGTTGAGGGACTTGGAAGAATATATCTATTGTATTTCATGATGAACACCGCGTCATATATGTTTTATGAACAAATAATTTAGTTGAATAAAAATCTAAGGGATTTTTATTTAATAGTTAGAATATATATATATATATATATATATATATATATATATATATATATATATATATATATATATATATATATATATATATATATATATATATATATATATATATATATATATATACTGTATATATAAAGAGACAGAGAACAAGAAAGAATTACCACATCATAGATCAAGATAAGTTCGTCACTGAGCATCAAGATCATAAATAACCAGAGGAACAACGTTACAAGCACCAAGGTAAAATTGTTCTCGTTCACCAACAAACATGTTGTAAAATATCTTCACTGACAGCTCCGTGAAACTTAATCGTGGAAGAAAAAAAAATCACTATACATCAATTTTTAAAGTTTTTAAGATTTACTGCACTTTTTTATGTGATATAATTCGTAAAATCACTCCTTGTTCGTCGTTTTTCTCTTAAGTAGCGTGAGAGTCTGTGAACAGTGTTATAAACTATTGTCTTGTTATTATAGGCAAGAGTTAGCTAGTTCTTCTATTATTTTCCGCCAGTTAGGTGTCCAGACTACCTTTATTATGGTATCCCAAAGATGCTTTTCCCTCTTTTTTAAGATTTATTTTGTCATTAATAAAAAACAAACTTTACTTTTTTTTCTGAACGATGTCTCGAAAGTTTCTCAAAGGATATACAGTATGTCTTACCATAGAATTTTATACAGAGTGTTTCTCTCTCTCTCTCTCTCTCTCTCTCTCTCTCTCTCTCTCTCTCTCTCTCTCTCTCTCTCTCTCTCTCTCTCTCTCTCTCTCTCTCTCTCTCTCTCTCTCTCTCTCTCCACCCATACATCGTGAAAGCAACAATACATCCACCATTCCACAATACAATTTTGCTTAATATGAGATGGTGATTGTAACTTCTTTTAAGATTTTCTTTGCCATAATGTCACTTGTACTTTACCTCACTTCGTTTATTTACAGAACTATTGCTGTAATAATTCGTGTGGTAGAAATACAGAAAAAAAATTACTGTGTCACTGCTGTACCTTTAAACTTACAGCACGAAATCTTGATGTGAAAACAGTCATATATTACAAGAAATTTAATTCATCTTTTTTTTTAGCTGACATACAGATCAACACCTTATCTTTCCTAATATTTAATGCATCGATTCCCAAGATAAGAATTTGACATATATTTCGACAGTATGATTATTAGTGAAGTAATTAGATATTATACTTACATTCTAATTAATCTTAGACTAGATTAATTAACTTTCAATGTAGTTCCGTGAAACTTTGATAAAATTGAATACTTTAATACTTTCTTAGTTTTTATTCATTTGATGTAGTGCATAATAAGGAGTGCTACTGAAGGGATTGTGAGTGAGTGAGTGTGTGAGTGAGTGAACAAACTTAAACTATAAATGATTACTATATCGTCTGTGCTATATGATATGAATAATTTTTTACACATCTCAACTATACTGTCTTTCAACTAATATAATTTGTTGATAATGAGACAATAACATAACTGATTAATACATTATTTCTAGATTAACAAAAAACAAAACATTTAACATTGAATTGGTTTACAGTGAAATAAACATACGACATTTTATAGTACGTTAAATATTTGTAATTTTATTTAAAGAATTTAGTTGTGTGTGTCTCATATTTCTGAGCTTAACAAGGCAAGTCATTATAACGAACCTGTATGGGGATATTGACCGACTTTATCTGTTGTGTGTATGTTACTCAGTGTTCTGGTCTTGCGGTATAGATTTCCTCTCAAACCAATGGAGAAGTAGAGTCTCTTCAACCAAATTGGCCACTCGTGTTTAAATATAACAATGAAAATAATATTAATAGTAATAATGATAATGATACTATTATAGTTTCTACTACTATTACTATTACTACCAATAAAATAATAATAATAATGATAATGATAATAATAAAAGGTACAATGACGATAATAGCAGTGGTAATGATAATAATAACAGTAATAATGATAACATTATTGACACTAATAATACAATGACATGTACAGTATACTGTCACTTAATAGAGACGAGTGTTTAACGACTGTGATGACTTAGCGTGGACGGTCATTTAATGGACCCACTTGTTCAACAGAGTCCTTCACTTAACGACCAGAGTCTCTAAACTAAGGCATTCATTTAACGAGGACGATAACGAACATGAAAGAGAGATTCACTTAAAGAAACGCATTACTAAACAAAGCCGATTAATCCAATAAACAAAAACTTAACGGCGATAGACAGGTTAACGAATGACGTCATATGAAAAAAATATGTTAGGACTAGATTAACGAAGAAAATTATCGTCCAAATTGTGTAGTTCAGCTTAACGATGATAACCAACCAGTGAGAAACGTTAATTTAAGACGTTAATAGTCTGTTTAACGACCATTAGCTCTTAATCGTAAATGACAGGTTAATGAAGATGATCGGTTAGCGGAGACGAGCAGAACACTTACCGAAAATATAAATTCT